GGAGAATTTGAACTCGCTACCGGATTTTCATCTGCCGTCCCATTGAGCTCAAGCTCGTTGCTTGTAGCATCATCACCACCAAAGCTCGAATCACTGCTTTCACTTTCATGGCTAATACGGCAATCTTCATCCTCCATGCCATCCCAGTCTAACGAATTCGATTCGCTTCTCATGTGAAAATTTGGACCCTAAAATTATAAACAAATAAGAAAAACATAAATGAGATTGTTGCACATGACAATGACAGTGCAAATCTAGCTATACCGGGCGCTGACGTTAAATTATAATTTTTTTTTTGGCGCGCGGGTTCCTCGACGTCTAAGTTATTTAAATTGCAATATTCCTACATACAAAACATCAAAACACAAACCGTATCGAGTCTGGGCTTTTTGGAAGATGTTGCAATTCCTCTTTGCCACCTTGATCGCTTCCCTCTTCGTCTTCGGCTGAAATGTGAAACGATAGAGGCAATAACTGACTGCCACGTTCAGAGCGAAATTTTAAACAGTATATAACGCTGAAATTACGACATTAGTATTAACACTTGACTTTACCTGTTTTCGTACGCGAGAAGCAGCCGAGCGTCAAGTATATTATCGGCTGGTTCCCATGTGTTGTGTCTGTATAAATCGACAAAAAATTATCGTCAGTTCGTCGCCGTAAAATAATTTTATTGTCGATGTAAAATTGTACTTACTTCGCCGACCAACCTTTCCATTTCACCAAGTACTCGATCTTACCCTGTCAAAAAATACGGAGAGAAAATTCACATTTAGAGAAGCATTTCTGGCACGAATCAACACGAAGATGATAGGGTTTCGAACGTATAATTTCTTACTTTTCGAGTTCGCTTTTTGAGAATACATTCGGCGGCGAAAATGCCATCAACTGGCGGTGGATTGTCGTTATTTTGCAGCGCGGCTGATTCTGCCATCTCTCCACATACGTCCATCGTCTCGGCTGGAAATTCAATATTTACTTGGCCCGAGGGAATTCGAATTTCATTCATTGTCCATCCCGTAATATTAACCAAAACAATAACGCATTACGTCATGCCGAGGGACCTATAAGCCAGCTTTCTGTCTCGCTTTATCACTTCCTTGGAGTAATTGTTCGTAATTGGCCTTTTGCACCTCTTTCAAAGGCATTCAATTAAAACAGGCACATTAAAGCGCGATATTTTTGGCAATGAAGAATTGAAGAAGACCAGTTGAAGATTGTCTACAAAGACTCGCCAACGCTGTTTCAGCGTGAGGACCATCTGACGTCACGATACACGTTCAAACTTGACAAACACATTGAAAAGCCTGCTAAANTGATTAGAAAATTTCATTGCAGGGAAAGTTTTATAATTAAAATCCGCTCTTCGAATTATTTGATACTTTTTGTTTTCCTACTGTTTTAATTCTTCCGTCCCTCTTTCGTTAGCTAGAGAGCGATGGGTACAGATCACATTATTAACAAGGAAGGCCTAACACAGTATCACAAAGGCTCAATTTGAGAAATACTTTTGATTGAAAGTGATTGTTATACTCTTGAGATGTTTTCCAGAAATTGTATGAGCTTGAGAATTTTTCACTTATCGTGGCCGGGAAAACTACAGGGCAAGGGTTTTCGAGTGAAAACAGCAGTAAATTAACATGTACGAACTGACATCTCAGCTAACCGTGGCTACCCGCCTACCAGGCCCTTACGAAGAAGTTCTTAATAACACCTGTTTTGATACCATGAAGGTAAAAACAAAATTTCTCTAAAATACGGAGGGTGATCTAAATATTGATTATGCCTTCTAAACCTGTCTCAAGAAAATCTATCGTGATACCGTGGAGCTGTAAAAAAAATTCTTTATAAAACTACAGGTGATCTAAATATTTTCCAATACAGTAATTCTGATTGTACTCTTCAATGTATTTTATGGGTCGTATTTACAATCAACTGTTTTCGATGTTTTTGAACTGAACACAAACTTCGAGTGTTTGTGATAATTTCAATACCGGAACAAATAGTCAATTGCTTTCACTTTTTACAATCTTTGAAATAGATATAAATATATATTTCGCGGGACTGACATTTTTTGTGGATTGTACTTTGATTGTGGCAATCATGCAGAGACTTATAAATGCCAGCAAAAAGTTCCTTCCATACTGCAGATGGTTGAATCAATGGCGTGACATTAAAATACATATTTACCTAGATAACGCTTAATTTTTTAAGTTTCTCGTTCCCCTTTTTTGGACTTGAACATTTTAGCAGGATATCAAATGTTTCGAAGAATCATTTTGCTAAAATCAATGCCATTAGTAAACGCTGTAATTTTGTTTATTCACTTTACTAGAGCACAAATACGTGATGCGGGAACATCAACCGTTCAATATAGTTAACTGATCTAAAACAACCTTCAAATGTACACTGCACCAATGAGAAATACTGCAAAATCTGATCTCAACTCAACATCACTTCTAGTACCTTGTCACTTTAGTTTAAGCTTCGTAGCGAGGTAACCTTTGCTTCTTTGTCACTCCGAATTAAGACTAGTTCAAAACACAGCAATAGTGATCATGAGTGCACGTGCAACTATGACAAACTCAATGACCAGCCCTTAAAAATGGTCTCTTTAAAAACTAGAATATAGGTTAAGAAACGTCTTTGAAGGGCTGGTATTTGCTCTACTGATCAATGAGCCTAGCGTTTCCACGGGCGGCTATCGGTTGATATTTGGTGTTGCAACTGGAAACCCCTCGACAGAAACATCCTGATAAAATGATTTTTGCAAGCTTATATCACTGCTTTTTGTTTTTCATTCTTAATTCCTCGAGCACCTCCAAGTTATAGTTTCTATCTGATGTAATCTTAACGGATTGAGAATGAACTCCATATTACTGAGTATTTTGTCGAATAAAGATCAAGAATTTAATTTAAACCAGCTTTACGCACCAACACCTGATCACTAAAGTTTGAACAAGTCTTCTGTTACAGTGATTCAACAACTGTCTTTTATTGTTTTATCTCAGATAAAGGCAGTTTTTCAGATGACAATCATGGATTTAATTTAACCTTTGGGCCCTTGAAAACTGATAGAACTACAAGAAAAACACACTAAGTTCTAAACGACAGTGTTTCTTCGGTGTTAGCAAACTCCATCAGATTTTGGCAGCCGTTTAGTCAGGATCAGGACCCAACTGTAGCGAAACATTTTATAATTTTTCTTTCGTATAACCGTCTCAATTTTCCCATCATGCGACATTTTTGTTTTGGCTTAGTTATCTTTTCAGTGTGTTTTTCTACCTTTATAACAATTAACTATCAGTATTTCAGTATTTCGAGATTTTTCCATCAAAGCTGAACTTTGTACATCGCTAAAATGCTTCATACATCTAATCTAGTGTTTTAATTTTATTTGATCTAATCACGGACTGGTACATTGAAACATAAAGTGCTTACCTTTGTTTAAAATTTCAAACATTGTTTAACTATTTTCTGCGGCAGTTAACTGCGGGTTCATCGATCAAGACAAAACAAAAATTTATCTTTTTTCTAATTTCATTGATTTCTGAAATTTGGAAATTCTCTGAATTTTTGTCCGACGGAAACAGCTGGAATCATCCTACTTAAATCGACATGTAGCACGTACTGATGTCATTCGGTAACACGCATGTATCGCACTGAAAGCAAACAACATTTTGAACACGAAACGTGTCTGCTAAATTTGGATGTTGCAAATTTAATTCAACCAGCATTATTCCAAAAGTTCTCCATGGGCTTCATGATTCCGCATTTTTTGTTATAAACCGAATGTCGATTGAGTGATTCGTCCGATTTTCAGTGTTGAAGATTTTATTTGCTGCTTGGCTTTCAATCGTTTCTTTTCCTTTAACGGGGGTCTTTGTGATTGCATTCTCAGAAAATAGCACTCTGGAGAAAAAAAAAAAACACTCCATCACCAAGCTCGAGTTTTTTGCCAAATTGCTAGCGCTTCCGTGGAACTTCCAAATGATAACAAGTTTGCAATGGACGACGTAGGGAGAGGGTATCATCACTGCCTATCGCTCGTCAGCGTCAGCTTGTGGTCTAAAAGAACCAGTTGCATAAAATACACCCCTTTTGAGTTTTTCCTACATCATTAGCAGTTTATACGTTTCGATAGCGTCGGAAAATTGAGCGCAAAAGCCTTAAAGAAAATTGAAGGTTTTTCTTATATTTAAACACAGCAAGATGTATTCCATTTCAATTTTCTAATAAAAGTGAACTTTTCTAAATATAGTTATCACGTCTAGCTTCCGTGCGATTTTCGTGTAATAAAAATGCAAACTTATTGTCTTGTTCAAAATGACGCTTGTATACCTAGACTTTTCGTTTAACACCTACTATTTCAACATGAGTGCTTTTTAGCACTCTTTATCTAAACATTACACTCATTTTAGCCCAGTTGGTTAGAAATGAATATTACGAACTTGGAAAATGACAGCTTAAATCGACTTCTGTAACCTTTTCGTCTAATACGCCGTCTTATTTTTGTAATATTGTTTTTAGTTAATTATTTCAGCAGAATTAAGTTGCATAAAAGCTCGGCTTAAACATCATCGGCGATATTCTGCTCGCCACTAACCCTTGACAATTTGTAATAAACGCAAGTTTGATTTATTATTTAAAATAATTGCAAATTCACACCGTGCATAAAAACATTCTTTTCCTATATTTGAGTTACCCCAGTGAAGTCGAAACATGCACCCTTCGTAGCAGAAGATTTCTTAAATTAACTTCGAATCCCTGTGTCAAATTTTCGTTATTTACTATTAAATGAGACAACATAATTTCTATTCATATCTTTGGTTTCGTTTAAGCTGAGGAGAAAGCTATTACGTTGATGCGACTGCATTGCTGTCTGGCGTTCATAAAATCGTTTAACTGTTCATCAGTTTGCTAGCTGAAAATCTTGGTGGAGAAGGGAGTATTCTTGTAAGAAACTTGCGCGCGACGTTGAAAATAAGACACACAAGGCCGAAAGTAAATGATAATGTTTATTGTAACCTTTACGTTTGTTAATAATGTTTCTGTACATAATTTCAACTCAATGGCCGCTTCGGGCCTACAAATGTCGCCCACACAAGAAGGCATTTTTTAGACTTACTCGTCGACTGATACACTCTACGAAAACGTAGCGAATAATGCTCTATAGCTTATCATAAAACTAGCATGATTTCAAATCGAGGATTAAGTACATTCTAGAAATAACTGACAGTCCTCAATTTACATTTGGGTATTATGGCATCAACTATGACGTTAACAATTCGACGTCGTCAGTCGTTCAGATTTAATTTTTTTTTTCTTTAACCTCTGTTATCGGTACCTCTTTACCTAGTTTTCATTCAAATGATTTTATTACAAATTTAATGCCGGCTCCGTGGATTTATAAACAAGCTCTACTAAATCAACGGCTGTGTATGCTTTGTGTAGATCAGTGAGTAAAGTTTGTTCTACACTCACGGTTTCCAGCTCGATCGATCTTACACTGACTTTTCTAGCTAAACCAATATAAATGAGAAGATTTGTGTTCCGTCACAGATCGACTCTTCTGTTATTATCAAGTACGACAGAGGCGAAACATCAGCGGGAGAACACCTTATTAATAGCACTCTTGACTCTACAACTTAAAACATTCGTTCGTCCGGAGTTGCTTTGAAATAAACTCGCTTCGGCGGGCTTGATAAAGCAATCTACTGGCGATTACTACACGATGCTTGAGTCGTTGAAGAGCCATTATGATTTAAAAGGGGACTTCTGTCTAGTAGCGTATTGAAAAAAGTTCAGATGCCCGTTGCAAACAAGATCTAGTCGGAACTATGAACTAAAGTTCTAGCAAACCCAACACTATGCACAGTCTTGAACTAGAAATCTACCATGCGCCTGGCGCTACTCAATTGGAGCAATTTCGGAGTTAAACACCGACATCAATAATTCCTTGCAAATATCCCACAGTTTGATACTTTTCTACGCTATGCGTCATCTAGGAAACTGCAAATAAGAAACGCACAATCCATACTCAATCCACAAGCATGGAGCAGAGGTCATGAAACGGCTAAAAATTGTTGACAACTTTATACGCTTCTGCTAAGGCGACAAACCGGCGGCTGAAAACACAGAGAAACGGCTTCCGAGAGGTCCGCGATTTGCGCGTTTCATCTTTGACGAAAGAACCCTTTATCTGTTAAGCACTCTTTGACGGTAACTGTAACAAAGTTGGATGTTACATCAGTGATGAAGATCTGATCAATCAGGGGCTTTCTCCAGCACTTGCAGCTTTCCTGTGGCAACAATTTAGCAGAGTGGTCATTCGGACTTGGCAAGCAAGCACAAGACGAGTTCACCGTCACCTCGGACACAAGCATCTCGCCGTTGCGCCGCAGTTTATTTTGCGCTGGACTGCTTATGTAAGCTGCATCGCAGCCACTGATAACTGCAACAGCCTGATTTTCACCACTTTCACTGCGAAAACCCTTGCCTGACTTGATAGGCTTCACATGGCCGCTTGTACCGATGTCCGTGACCGGGCAAGCTTTGACTGATGTTTTCTCGCCGTTCATCTTTACTGTCATTTGTTTTAATTCTCCGTTAGTGCTAGCTTCCCCTTCGCTAAGGCCTTCTCGACGTTTCTGAGAGGTAGCCTTTTTGTTTTCTTGTTCTGCTGACTCGAGATAAACCTTATCGGCCGCGTTCACGGTTCCGACACGACATCCTTTTCCGGATAAACTCCCCCCGAGAGAAACTTCATCGTGACCGTTTAATCTTTCCGAATTGATCTTTAATTTCGTCTCCTGAGGGATACGAGCTCTGCTTGAGAATTCCTCTTTCCTTTCTCCCGAAATCGGCGTTTTCTGGAGCTCAGAGCTTGACGTTTTGGCTTGTTTTTCGAAGGAACTTCTCGCCTCATTGGCGTTGAGTGTTGTCATTTTCTGGTCTGAAAGAGGCCTTCCTGTTTGGGTGCTCTGCACTAACGGAGGAGCAACCAGGCTTGATAAACTCAACTCCGCGCCAATAGCTTGTTGCGGAGAATTTGAACTCGCTACCGGATTTTCATCTGCCGTCCCATTGAGCTCAAGCTCGTTGCTTGTAGCATCATCACCACCAAAGCTCGAATCACTGCTTTCACTTTCATGGCTAATACGGCAATCTTCATCCTCCATGCCATCCCAGTCTAACGAATTCGATTCGCTTCTCATGTGAAAATTTGGACCCTAAAATTATAAACAAATAAGAAAAACATAAATGAGATTGTTGCACATGACAATGACAGTGCAAATCTAGCTATACCGGGCGCTGACGTTAAATTATAATTTTTTTTTTGGCGCGCGGGTTCCTCGACGTCTAAGTTATTTAAATTGCAATATTCCTACATACAAAACATCAAAACACAAACCGTATCGAGTCTGGGCTTTTTGGAAGATGTTGCAATTCCTCTTTGCCACCTTGATCGCTTCCCTCTTCGTCTTCGGCTGAAATGTGAAACGATAGAGGCAATAACTGACTGCCACGTTCAGAGCGAAATTTTAAACAGTATATAACGCTGAAATTACGACATTAGTATTAACACTTGACTTTACCTGTTTTCGTACGCGAGAAGCAGCCGAGCGTCAAGTATATTATCGGCTGGTTCCCATGTGTTGTGTCTGTATAAATCGACAAAAAATTATCGTCAGTTCGTCGCCGTAAAATAATTTTATTGTCGATGTAAAATTGTACTTACTTCGCCGACCAACCTTTCCATTTCACCAAGTACTCGATCTTACCCTGTCAAAAAATACGGAGAGAAAATTCACATTTAGAGAAGCATTTCTGGCACGAATCAACACGAAGATGATAGGGTTTCGAACGTATAATTTCTTACTTTTCGAGTTCGCTTTTTGAGAATACATTCGGCGGCGAAAATGCCATCAACTGGCGGTGGATTGTCGTTATTTTGCAGCGCGGCTGATTCTGCCATCTCTCCACATACGTCCATCGTCTCGGCTGGAAATTCAATATTTACTTGGCCCGAGGGAATTCGAATTTCATTCATTGTCCATCCCGTAATATTAACCAAAACAATAACGCATTACGTCATGCCGAGGGACCTATAAGCCAGCTTTCTGTCTCGCTTTATCACTTCCTTGGAGTAATTGTTCGTAATTGGCCTTTTGCACCTCTTTCAAAGGCATTCAATTAAAACAGGCACATTAAAGCGCGATATTTTTGGCAATGAAGAATTGAAGAAGACCAGTTGAAGATTGTCTACAAAGACTCGCCAACGCTGTTTCAGCGTGAGGACCATCTGACGTCACGATACACGTTCAAACTTGACAAACACATTGAAAAGCCTGCTAAAAGCGTGGTATGAGGGCAGTGTAAAAACCGATGACATTGCAAAATATAGCATAGAAATAAGCTGACTCTGACATTTCTTTCTTACCCGTTATAACCGGTTGTTGTTATGAACATGTTTTGACAGTTTTACTTTCGACCGCCGACTTTGTTTTCAATTTTTCGTGGAAAAGATAAAAGTTCATAGAAAAAAATAACCCATTCAGATGTCATGATGTTATTATTGCTCTAAAACCTGATGAAATGTCGATCGGAAGATTCACTTTGTCCAGAAACCTGGTATTTTTCTGACGTATATTTTCAAAATTAACCACGTTTGTTTGGCGTGCGAGCGAATCACATAAACAGAACTTCCTTAGTTTCACCTCGTTTAGGAAAAAAATCATTAACTCAAAAGTTTAACTATCGGTTTTCTTGTTTTGGATGTCACAAAGCCAGGCTATTTATAAAAAACAATCAGCAAAGATGACAAATCTGGAACTCCACAAATTTACGCAGTGTATGCTGAAAAACTTTGTCTCGACGGGCGCGTTTTTATTGAATCAATTCCTCGATTCTCGTCAGAGAAATTTGCTGAGTTATTTTTAACTCCTGAAGACAATATAATGCAAATATCAAAGACAGGAAACATTTGGAAGGAAAGCTGTAAATGGAGATATTTATCGGAAGACAAGCAACTAAAAATGGGCACTTCGACTATATGCTTCAGTATTTAATTTTTACGTCCGTGTCACACACAAGTCATTCGGAGACATGAAACAGTTCGTTAACCTGATAAACCGTTGTCTAACAAAAGTGTTTTTTTTGAATTTCCAATATTGAAAAAAAAATTTATAATAGCACGTTGGTCTTTTGCCGGGCTTGCTTGAAAGGTTTTCAATGGCTAATAACAACTTGGGTTGGTTTCCAATACTGTTAAAAACGCTGTTTAGAACTGTCATGCGTTGATGCATAGGAACCGAAAACTTGACCTTCAGGTGTAATTAAGTTCCTAACATAGATTTACATTACTCCCGAAAAACGTTCCAGCTGTCATTCCCTGTAGACCAGGAACACTTCAAGCGAATAGAAAGAGCCACTCAGTTACTATTTGCAAATCATTACGTGCTCTTTCGAAGATGGTCTGAAACTGTGCGCGTAAATGTGAGCTGAGCTGTCGCGAGTGGGCAAAGATAGAATTTTTAACACGTTCCAATCGCGGGGAAGCCCTTGAGCTGCTAATGGAAATGTGTTTTCAATTATTTAACCGCGTGTAAATCAAAAGTATTATTTCTAGCTCGGCTGTTCGATATTCAAGTCACGGTATCTGGGCAATTCAAATATACCTTTCTTAAGGTGTAAATTTTAACTTAAAAATTGCAACTGACACTAAGGAATTTTATGGGTGTCAAATACAATTTAAAACACCGGTAGCAAAGCATTAGTGAAACAAAAATAAACTGCTACTTTAATTAAACTCTATTTCAGAACCGTTTTCTTTGATTTTTTTCTCACAGGTGACAATGTCAGCATTGCCGTCAAATGTCGAATCAGTTTGCGATGGATTTGGCCGAATTCTAACTGTGCCAGTAAAGAAATTTAAATAATTTGCTACATTGCCTTCGTCTAAATCATGGATTGAAAGGATTATTTTGGTAGAGTCGAATAAGCAAAAGAAAAAAAAATATCTGCGCTTGATTACCAGTACTTCACTTTAAGGAGCGGAAAAAGGAACATATAAATACAAAGCCTGTTCAGTGGACCACCAAAGGACCCACGCGTGAACTAAAAATGCATACGCGAGGCCGGAAAACAGAAAAAAAGGAGTATAAACATATGAATATACGTTCACCCACACTTGTTTCAGTTTACCTATCGAATATTTAACTGAAAGGAAAATCCTATAAGCTGTTATTCTACTGACGAAAACGAAGAGGCCAATATTTTTGTACCAGCTATTTTTGACTAACCTTTCCGGCCTTCTGCCTACTCCAAAAAATCATTCAAGTAAATTAACTCACCCGTTTATTGTGGCTTTTTCGCATCCGTCTATTTCTACTCAAATAAATCAGTCTTTTTATAGGACTTGACCTCAAATTTTCCTTTGACTGGCATTATTATTTTCAATATCCATTTTCCACGATTTCCCTTCCGAAAAACGCTATTACCTAGAAGGTCTTTCAGTTTTCCCGAGACGACATCATTACATGCAGTCTGGTACAAGTAACCTAATCCGCTTTTCACGACTTCCGTATTTATATTTTGTCCGCAAAAATTTCTGTCCATTCCCACCAAAAGTGTTTATAGAACCTTTCCATGCTCTTTTTTATTCTTCCTGGAAGAGAGGCCATAAATGAAAACAAATTTAGTCCTGCGAAACAATGAAATTAACTTAAAGATGGAGGAATAAACAGAATTACAAATCATCTTGTGTAAAAACATTTTCTGGTTCTTGTTAGAATTTTCCTGGAGGTTTCGGCTTCCAGTCCAAAGCCTTTAAAAACTGGAAGCCCCAAGTTCTACTACTTTTAAAATTAAAAAAAAAAATTAGCCAGAGAATGCTTTTACACAGGATAATGTGGTGTATATACCATCCATGTTGGAGAAATTGTGGAAACAACAAATCCCTCGGAGGCTTGCAAAAAATCAACAGAGCAGATGTTTATATTTTACGCACAGTGGCGAATACATTACTTGCATCATAGCTTTAACAGTGACACAGAATTGTTGTTAATTTCACTGTCAGCAAACTTTAATTTATTTGAGAAGTTTGTAGAGCGAGTTGCTTGAATGAAGTTCAATAATTTAGCATAAAAACGAACAAACGCTCGAGTAAAGGGTATTTAAATGCCGAACATGGCGTCGGAGAAGAAGCAGATTGTTGCTGACAGAGCCTCTAGTAGCATTTTGGATCATCTGTCTGTTGCGGGATTATTATAAGTTTATAGTTTTTTGTCGGTAGTTTGACACATGATTTATCAGTCAAAACGAAAGGTTTACGCCATGCATGCATGGTCAATTTGCAAATAAGATAAAGTAGTGTTATCATTGAGCGCTCACCCTTATCTAGACTAACACCAGCTAATTCGTTTGTTTGTTTGGATCGTTACTTGCAACTCAGAGCTGATGCTTTGTATCGCTAGCTCGTAAATTAAGAAACTCTCTGGTTACAAACTAGTTGAGGATGAACCGCAATTAGTTTCGAGACGTTGGAGTAGAAAGGAAGCGTCGCTTAATCAGTAGATGTTGTCATTATGGATTAAAATTAATTCAGGAACAAACGCCTACTTTCATTAGAGGACACAGAAAATGGAGGAGCTGTTATAATTGCGTTGGTGGAAAGGAAATTTGCACTCGGTTTGAATCGTTTGTGCGACTTTCGCGTGGGTTTCAACATGCTATGTTGATATGTTTCAAACTTTGAGCTCTTCCTCAGATTGAAGAGAAACAAAAAAAAACAACGTGCTAAAAAAGTTAGATTCTAAAGTTTTAACAGTGTCGATTGAATAATATTTAGACCTCCTGGGCTAGGATGCTCGAAGCCCAATTAAGCTCACCCAGGGTCAGCGAGAATTTTGGTGTCAATTTTGCAACTTTTCGGTGAGCTTTTCTGATTATATTTTTTGTCCTTCAGTTTTGAATTTGAATAGTCTGAAACTACATAAAACATAAGCAGTGAAAAACATTTTTATTCAAGAAGAATTAATATTTCGATTAACTTTAGTCCTGGGTTAGCCGAGTTAACCGGTCCCGTGTGTCTCTGGGTTTACGGTGGTAAATTCAGATAACAGAAACAGAAGCTCTAGTTGAGAGTATGAGTAACCTTGCCAACTCCTCAGTAAAACAATAAATTAAATCTCGATTTAAAGCCTAGGGAAAGAGCTAGTTTAGCTTAGAACTCGATCTTTAGCACGGTCGTTTTATTATTTTTGCGAGGTTGTCGCCGGTGCGATCGCCAAGTTTTAAACCCGCGAAAATTGCTGTAACCGGAAAACAAAAAGACATAAAACGGTTAACAGTTTGCCATCAATACAAGTTAAGAGATAAATATTATCTCTCAGTTATAAACCCAAGTTTTGTGAGCTGTTCTAGTAGTATGTTAGGGTTTATAGAGGGGAAGTTGTATCATCGTGTGTTTTTCCTGATCCAGTAAATTTTTTACAATCACTTCATTTAAATTGCGTACTTTTTCCAAAAACAAATAGATAGGTGTGCACTTCAAATAAAAATAGATTGAAATGCATTGTGTTTTAGACAGCCATTGCTAATTTTGGGACAAGTCACTCACGAATGACAATTTTGATTGATTTTCTGAGACTGGAGCATATCAGTACAAATGAAATAAAAAGCCATTTGTTGTGATGATTTTGCATGGGTTTGAACCAACTGTTTTTTTTTAAATTTGGTTTCTGCTATAATGTATAACCACAACAGTGCTTGATAGTTTTCCAGTTATTTCCAACAGGAGTGAATTAACACCGTTTCTCGCATTTACGTATCGACTTACTTTTGCAGCTCAGAAATAGCTTTTTAAATATTTAGTTTTAAGGTTTACGTAAGCCTGTAATTACACTAACAATGAACGGTTTATTCGAAATGACAAAATGAATTAAAAGCCAGCTTAAGACTCCAAAGCTTTTAGCGAACAGCTGAAGGGTAATCGAAGTTAATTAATTCCAAGCACGTCCATCTCCAGCACCTGACATCAGTACGGTTCCTAATGATCATATATACACAAAATGTTTTCAAAACTCATTTTGAAATCCATGGCCAGTTTTCCACAAGAGCCATTTTCCGTAGCTCCCGTTAACGAGAAATTGTCTGTACTTACAACTGAGTAATTTCATTCTTGATTTCTGATGAAAAGTCTTTTAGAGACAAAGATTTTGAGTTAGTAGTGTAATTTCCGTTGTCTATTTTTATCGTATATTTCACAGAAAACAATTTTAACATTAAGAAATTGACGACGTTTAAAAAGTTGTTCATTTCCCTGTTAATTTCTCAATAAATTCATAGA